CTAGTCAACCATCCTAAGAGACCCCACTTGGCTGCTTCATGAGCATCATACTTTTCTTCTGATTTTGCCGTACCAGTCCCCAAGGACAATACTAGAAATCGGCCATATTCCATTGGGTTTATGGGAAAGAAGTCAGGATTCTCCTTATTGATTCCTTTTGAAACTTCACTAATGGCAACTAAAGTCTGTTCAAAATCCAAAAAGAAAATAAGTCATAAGATTCATTGTTCATACAAGTTCAAGATGTTGAAGATTGATAAAGGATAAATCGTGAACTTACTGGATTGTTTGCTGCCACACCACCATCAATAAGATTGAATTCTCTAACTTTGCCTGATGGAGCTTTGGTTTCAAAATAATGGGCTGGAAGATAAGTTGGGGCAGCTGAAGTCCCAATGCATATATCAGATAAAATTGCGTCCGTAGATGGGATATTCTTCACCTTATAGCTAGAAAAGATTGTAGGCTGGAGGCGCTTGATGTCAAAAGTTGGGATCACAATATTAGTCAAGGTCTGGTGCAAGTGTGTATCTCCCAACTTCTCCTTGACAATGCTATGCAAGAATTTGCCATCATATTTTGGTCCACTCAAAGTCTTCAACAGATTTGCAGCAGGAGCAAATGGAGATCTATTGCCAAACAATACATAATTAGTAATTTGGCAATTTCAAGGGGGAAGCAGTTTCATTGCAATAATTCATCATTAGGATTATTACTCGTCTTGAGGAAAGATTTTAGGGCAGTTCTCAATATAAAAGTCATTAATGTCTTTCGCAGCAAACAAAGGGCGGTTTTGATCATTTGGGGCAGCTAACATAGCAGTCACGAGTCCACCAGTGCTCGTCCCTGAAATCACATCAAAGTAGTCTGCAAGTCTTGCATCAGCACCATCCAGCTTCTACAAAAGTAATGAATAGCAAAGCAACAACTCAGTCGTATATACGTGACAAATAAATAAACATTACAGCACTGCACAGAGAAGGCTAAAACTATTAAGTTTTATACGTACTTCATGCATTCAACTTAATTTCTTATTCTTGTTTATATTATATGATCATGAGCTTACAAACACAAAAAACATGCATGATGTTGCATGGCTATTTAACGTGCAATATACGTGCTAAAAGGACCCAGTTTCTTATGATCTACCTGGAGCTCAGACTCTAAAAATGCAAGGATAGTTCCTGGAATAATGCCTCTTATTCCACCTCCATCAATGCTAAGAATAGTGATTTGTTTTCCATAAGTTGGAGGTAGAAGAGGTGATCTTGGAGTTTCCATATGAGCGATATTGACGGAGATTCTAAAAGTATATAGAAAGAGGGGATTAAGAGACCCAGAAGGAAAAGAGTTAGAGAGGTTTAGCTTAAACTTTCTGAGAGCTTTGTGAGATAGATAGCTAGTACTGAAATCTAGTTAAAGTGTTGAAATCTTGGTATCTCCGCAGGGAATGTAGAGGTATTTATAGACTTCCATTCTGTATAAAATTGGAAATTTCAGCAAATTCCTATGGTTTTACTCATCCAAATTTGACCTTTTTGAAGTTTCTGGGATGGGGAACAAATTTTGAATCTGTCAAACTTTCTAATACATAGTTCTTAGCTGGCACGGTAAATTTCATGATATACTCAACGAGATTCATCAAATATAAACATATTATCTTTTTAAACACAAGATAATGGAGGAAAATTCAACGATTAGCATATAACACAACATAAGAAACAAGAAATTTGGAAAACATATAGGAAAGTCTTCGTACGTTGAGGTTTCATAAAAAACATAAAATTTGAATCTCATGATCTCTATTTTTTAATTAAAATTAAATAATTAGACAAGATAGTGACAAGCCTAGACTTGAATATTTCTGAAACTTTTTCTAACAATTTAAAATTTTCAGTTGAAATAGTTATTTGATTATCAGCATGAAGTTCTTTTGTTGAAAATTTTAAATGAAACTCATTAGTTGTTTTTTTTTTAAAAAAAAAAAAAAAAAAACTTGTTAGTTTCTTCAGAGCAAAATGACACATGATAATTAAGGTCAACATATTGTTCCCAGCAGCCAATCTGAAGGATAGATAAGTTTGAGGTCTTAAAGATAAACTCTAGCTTCCACACTAGAGGCCGTCAGTAGATCAAATTAAAAACCTGCTAGTCTACATAGATGCTGGTCAAGATAGATATTGCTGAATAATTCAAGGCTTCAAGTAGCATATTAATTGCAATTTTTTTTTTTTTAATTTCTTTTGTACTCATTAATAATGTTTGTCTAATCTATTTGAAAATGGTATTGTTTCTACTATGAGGCTTCGTGTTGTCCACATCTTGTGTTTCTTTTAATTAAATGGATGGCTGTTCTGAGTTAGGACAGCTGTACGTAGTTGATGATGATAATGTTAACTGAAGGTGGAATAGAGACCAATTTATTAACAAAACATTACTTAAGTTGAGGTAGAGAGTTCCTTCTGCAAGGAATTGGATCTGCTAAAAATTAACATTCAAAACTATTGAATTTGGAAATCAAACTGGAATGTCTTTGATTTCAAAGTCTTTAGTTTGTACCCCCAGAAATTAACTCGCTGTTGTTTGCTCTTACATATCATGTCACTTTAATTATTACAAACAAAAGAAAGAAAATAAGGAAAGCACATCTTTAGGCCAAACTCGCACGAGACCACAGCGAAAATGAATATGTTAATTAGACCGATTCCTCCTCTCAATTAATTAGTTCAATTCTCTTTTGTTTATTGAATTTGATATTTAAGTTTCAGTTTTATTTAAATTTTATAATGAATAGTCAATTTTTGTAGAATTTAATAGTTAAAATTAAGTTCTATTTAAAATGTTTAAATCTATTGATCGATGATCCTTTCTTAATTTTATATATTATTCAATATAAAATAGGTATTTTAACCTTCTTTCTCACATATAATCTATTTTTATTGAGTCGTTGGATATCTTTTAAGCATTAATATCATATAAAATTTGATAATTTTGATTAGACTCTATTCAAAATATTGAAACCTTAGGTAGATAGTCATTTTTTAATTTTATATATTATTCATTTGTTGTTTATTTATATGATATAAGATAAGTGCTCTAACAATTCTCTTAAGATTTATTGGATGTGGGATCCTCTTTTAATTTTATATTTTGTAGCGTTAATTAGGACAAGTACATTATATTTAAGCCTTACTAATTGAGTAAGTTTGGTGAAGAAAATCTCAATAGCACCCAATACTAGTATCAAAGTCTAAGTTAAATAATTTTTCGTATATCAAAATCATACAAGTTGATGAGAAATAGCCAATTTAAGACTAGATATGTTAAATAAAAAAAAAAACAAAAAAGATTGTTAGGTTATTCCACATATGTTATAGAAAAAGTTGGATGTTTGGTTATAAATGTAAGGAAAAACCTCACTTTATGACTTAACTTTTACAATTGAAAAGCAACTGAACCAACAATTTTTCTAATGCAAGAAAAAAAAATACAGAGTCAAAATTCCTTAGGCATAATATAATATTTCCATACACCTTTTAACAGTTTGAATTATATATTTACAAATTCTCTTAACTGATGCTTAACAAGAGATTAGTATTATTATTATTATTTGGATAAGCAAATATATATATATATATATATATATATATATTAAGACACCATAAAGCAAAAACAGCCAACATGCATGGAGAAAAATCTAAAGAAAGAATACATGTATCCAAACCAAGAAGGAAGCAGTTAGACTGCATTTAGTCATGTTTTTTAATTGCGTTTGCAAGTATTTTTTGTATACTTTTGAATGATTTTTGTTATGCTGATATCAAAACTATTAAAAAAATAATAAAAAAATATTAAATTCTAAACACATTTTTATAAAAACACCATTATCGCACACTTACCAAATTTGGATCAAAATCAAGATTGATCCATCATCATCTCAAAACAAAAGTTCACAAAATTCTAGACTAGAATGTACTCAACACATTTTTGTTAGCCTTTTACTTTCAGACAAATAAAAAACAGTACAAATCTATGACACTGGTAATTAATTAATGTTGCCACCTATTTTCACATTTTATAATGGTAGTTGCACTAAGAACGTGATAGTCATCATCAAGAGCAAGCAAACATTCTGTCCCAAATTTCCTTTTCTTGTGGAGCATTCAAAGGCTAGAAATGTTTGTGCAGGTTCTTCTTCCTCCTTTTTTACGTACGTTCTTCTCTGTTCTTTTTTATTTTTCATTTTCGGCAACGGCATGTGTTTCATAGTTACTTTTGATTTTAATTATAGATTAAATTATTATTATTATTATTACTTTTAAGTTTCTGTTTATATATATATATATATATATATATATATATATATTCCTTGCTGTTAGGCATGCTATTTGAAAATAAATTAATAAATGTCAGAGGAAATGCACTCCAAGTCCAGTGAATACACTAAACGAAACGATGGGCTTAAGCTGTGTAGATTCTTCGGCAACTTGTGTTCTTTATTGGGCCCGAGTAGCCCAAATTCTGCCGTGTCCACCAATTTATGATGTTAATTTAGAGCCTGGATTAACCATCGTAAGAAGGCCCAAAACTTTATGAGTTGGCCTGTCCTGCTTCTGGAGATAAATCAAGAATGGATATCGCACAAGACTTTGTTTTGTTAATTAAAAAATAAAATGATATGGAAAAATAAAGTATTTTCCTTATCAAGAATGGATATTTGTTCCCATGTTTCAATTTCTAATTTAACAAGGATTAAGTTTTTTAGCAGAATCCGAATCAGTGTTAGCTACTTTCTTAGGCGGTTTAAAAGAGTATTTATATTTGTGTTACTGTGTCAGGTTAATCTTTCGTCTGTAACAAAGCATTGAAAAAACCCTAGTCATTGTGTGTGGGAGAGAAAAATGGAAGCTTAGTTTCTTGGGTGTCAGTCGAGTGGAAAACCTGATTTTGTTGGTTTGTTCAATAAAGTTCTACTACTCTTTCGTTTTCTTTTTGATTTCATGGATAAAGATATGGCCTGCGAGAGGTTCTCTCCTCCTCCTATCTTGAGAAGTGTATTAGGTGATGAGAGTGATGTTCTTGACCTCTTGATTATTGCTGTTCATGAAGCTTTCTTGAACTCCGGTCTTGTTGGATTCGATTCGGTATCTGCAACACGTGTTAATGGACTTCAGTTCCCTGGAGAGAGGCCTTCATCCGCTACCCCGTTGTCAGTTTCCTATACTCTTCCGGAAGTTTTGGACAAGGAAGATGTTTCTGAATCAATTTTTTTGAATATCCGGAGTTTGATCAATGGTTGTGTTGTAGTTTCAGGGTCTTTGGCAGAGAGTAGGTCAAAGTTGTATCTGACTTTGGATCAGAATAGATTTGCCCCGGTTTTGGATTTGCTGCGGAGAAATTGTCTTGATTAGGATAAGATGAGGGAAGTTTATGATTTATGGAAAACTGTCAAGGATCAGCTGGTTTTGCCATTGTCCATACAACTATCCGAAAAGACTGGTGCGACTCTTCCACCATGCTTTATGCACCTTTCATCTTATTTAAACCGCAAGATTTTGGAGTTACTTCCTGCCACCGATGTTGCAAGAATGGCATGCGTTAGTTCGGAGATGCAGATTTTGTGTTCGAACGGTGATTTATGGAAGCAGAGGTATGCGGAAGAGTTTGGATATGCCTCTGAAACACAAAGTTGTGGCAACTGGAAAAACAGATTTGGTTGGGATTGGAAGATTGAGAAGAACAATTACAAGAAAGAGACAAGATCAGAGTCATACCTGCAGGATTTCTTCGATTCCAGAGGCAGTTTCACTAGCCAATTCAGGCCTTCTCTTTTGGCACTAAATATTTATTATAAAGAGAAGGAAATCAGCCCTAGCTCAAACAAATGCAAATTTTTAGATATGGATGTTTTCTGCTGCCCAATCTTATAGTAGCATGAAGTCCACTGAAGAACCTATTATTAGCTTTTCGGGAAATTTCCAAATGAACAATTTCTTATCTTACTATGTTCAATTCTATGTATTCCTCTATCCGTAGAGTATACTGAATGTACAGAAATGGCTATAACAGGGTTTCTCTTTTTCGTATTAACAGCTACTCTAGAAGGAATGTTTTTATGCTTTTTTATTTTACTCCACTACATCTTGAATGGCTATACTATCTCATGTATAAACTATATTATATCTAAATATCATAAATAATAATATGATAGAAATAATATTATATTAATTTATAATTTATGATTAGGTATGTTTAATTTTAATTGATCTCAATTGATTTCTTGTTATTGTATTGCTCGAAGCAAAGTAATAGGTAGGGATGACATGATTTGAACCTCTGATATTTTGTACCCACTTCAATTTCATTCATTCAAAAAAATTCTAATGAATCTAGATAGATAAGATCATAAAGATATATTCATAGATGTTGATATTGGTTGATATGGATATATAAGCTATGTTATACTGTTGAATAACAAGCCCTCAATTATCTATTTCTATTTATAGAGAATTTGTGTGCTTAGGAGTCCTTGATGATTAAATAAACCAAGATTTTACCATGATTGCAATTTTAGAGAGACGTGAAAGCAAAAGCCTTTGAGATCGCTTCTTTAGTTGGATAACTAGCATTGAAAACCATCTTTACATTGGATGGTTTAGTGTTTTGATGATTCCTACTTTATTGATCGAACTTCGTATTTATTACTCGCTTTCACTATTGCCCCTCCGATATACATTGATGGTATTTGCGAACCTGTTTTTAGATCTCTACTTTACGGAAATAATATTATTTACGGTGCCATTATTCCTTTATATGGTTGGACTATTGCATTCTCTTGGTTGTAATTTTAGCTTGTTTGATTGTTAATTGCTTTTTTCAATAGTTTAAGTTCCTAGTTCAACTATCTAGATAATTAATATAGTGCTTGGAGATTTTTCCTTGTCTATATTCATTGATGAACTTTAACCTTATCGACGACATTCGAGTTTAGATTGAAAGTAAAATGATGAGAACCAACGGGCCTTGGACTTCGTGGAACGGTACGAGCATGATAGAAGGCCGAGCAAAAATTGTCGACCAAATTTTGAGGTTTTTTAAATGGATCAATGAGCAAAACTCATAGGCTTGCCTATAATATAAGGGTGATTTTGGCTTAAAAAACATCGTTTAGGCCCTCAAAATCTACTTTTACGAGTTTTGGAGATTTTTCCTAATCTGTTAAATTTTTAGTATTTGTTTCCTTTTTGAATTATTTTAGGGTTTTGGCTGATTTTTACTATTTATGTATGACTTTGAGATAGAAAAATGTCGGTTTTTCTTGGCTAATAAAGTTTTATAAGAGAGCATCTCAATTTTATCTCAATCTTTACAATTTTGAATCAACGAAGTTGAAGGCTATTCTTATTATTTATGCACAATTTAACATATTATAGTAGACCGAGCATCTAGATTTCGGATCAACGGTATTTATTTTCTTTCTATATGTTTTCTCTACATTAATTGATATTAGAGCCAAGTCGTTGTTGTTTTGACCATGCCACCAAGTAGACAAGCAACAACGAGATATGGATGAGATTTATGAGCTTACCGATGTAGTGTGATTAGAGTAGTAGATGAATGATAGATTATAGCAGTTATTACAACGGCTAGCACAATAGATAGGGGTGTTGGCATAGTAAATAGGTGCACCGATGATGAACATAGGTAGAGATCATAAGAATAAGGCCCGATATCATAATTGGGAGATACCATAGGCTGGTTTGGATGATGAAAGGGATGATGCGGATGTTTTATGCGGACAACGGAGGATTCCTATGAGAGATTCTAACGGCGAGGAGGTGGAAGAGTGGTATGGGGATCGAGATTCTTGAATTTTTTGGTACCTTCCGAGTCGGAAAAGTTCTTAGATTGGTTGTTGATAGTGGAAGAGATTCTAAAGTTTAAAAAGGTTTTTAAGGATAATTGTGTATCTTTAGTAGCCACCGGATTTAGAAAGAGAGTAACAAATTGATGGAATCGGTTAAAACTAACCCGAAACAAGATAGATAAACCCGAGATTAATTCTTAAGAAAAAAATGAAGCACATACGTACTACATTCTTACCCTATAACTTTCGAGAGGATCATGTACCAATAGCTACGAGGAATTGAGACAGGAAAACTAAAAGATTATTATACCATCGAGTTCTATCAATTGATAGCCCAAAACGAATTACAAGAGACGGAGGATTAATTGGTGGCTAGATATATCGATAGCCTAAAATTGCAGATTAGTGATTTTATTAATATGTTTAACCTTATGTGCCTTTCTACTAGTCAAAAAGCACTATAGATTGAGAAACAGATCACGACGTTTGTGTAGCTTTATTAATCCTTTCGGTATGAGGGGTAGTAGCGAGCATGAATGGTGGTAATGGTGCAATCCGCATTAAAGATAACAAAAACACCCCTATTACTGGTTAGACTAGTAGGTCGGTTGATAACGGTATAAAGTGCTTCGACTGTGATGAAGTTGGCCATAGATAATTCGAGTGTCGAAAGTTAGGGAATAGGGCACTTCTTACTAATACAAAAGATTATGATATGGGTGATGTAGTGTTAGTTGGTAATCCGAGTTTATGATGATACGGTTACTCTAAAATAGGAGGTTCGATAGGCAATGAGGGGACAACACTAGTTCTTAGGAGGTCCCACTTCACTCTTCAAGTTACCGATGATGATTAGCTAAGGAGTAATATTTTTCAATCGACCTACACAATTCGAGGAAAGGTATGTCATTTTGTCAATGATGTTGATAGTTGTGAGAATATTGTATCTTATGAAGTAGTGTAAAAGCTGAATCTCAAAAAAAAAAAAAAAAGGCATCCTAAGTTTTACAAGTCGGCCTAGCTTAGAAAATAGGGAGAGGTAATTGTTTCTCAATGGGTTTTAATTTTTTTTATCTATTAGCTCCAAGTATAAGCATGATATATGGTGTGATGTTGTTATAATAGATGTATGTCATCTACTATTGGGTAGGCCTTGGTAGTATGATAGAGGCATAATTCATAATGGACGAGTTAATACTTATAGTTTCATGTTTAATGGTGTAAAGATTATTTTTGTACCTAGCAAGGTCCTAGTTATTTCTAAGCCTATAGAGGATAATAGCAAACTAGTGTCGCTAATTCGATTTGAGAAGGAGTTATAGGATTCGAAAGTGATTTATGTATTGATTGAAAAGAAAGTTAGAACTAAAAAGGTAGTACCGAAAGTAGTAGATCCCTAGTTATGAAATTTCATGATGTATTTCTTGAATAGTTGCTTAAGGAGTTATCGCCCTTATGGGACATTCGAGCACTAAATTGACTTGGAGCATAGTGCAATGCTACCTAACGGAACCCATTATAGAATGAGTGCTAACAAGCATCGGGAGTTGAGGAGAGAAGTTGAAAAGTCGTTAGCCGGGTGGCATGTGCGAGAGAGCTTGAGCCCTTGCACGGCACTGTTTTACATAGTGATTCGGGCTATAAAACACTAGAGGCATTACCTATTCCATAGGGAATTTTAGTTATATACCGACCATAAAGCATTGAAGCACCTACACAAGCAAGATAAGGTGTCGACAAAGCATGTGAGATGGATTGCTTATTTACAATTGTTTACTTTTGTGGTTAAGTATAAGGCTAAGGTCACTAACAAAGTGGCTGATGCACCGAGTAGAAGGAGCTATTTGTTGACACGCATGTGAGTTGAGGTACCGGGTTTAGACTTATTTTGTGTTTTGCTTGATACCGACTTATATTTCTCTATTGTTATGAGAAAAGGTCATGCAAGGGAGAGGATAGAATTCCTATTACATGATGGGTTCCTATTTAAGAGAAATCAGCTTTGTGTTTTTTATTGCAATTTATGTTTATAGATCAATAAAGAGCTTCATGGGGAGATCATGTTAGGCAAGAAAAGAAATTGCAATTAGCTCGAGCTTCGTACTTTTGGCCTACCATTCATAAGGAATTAGAGAAATTTGTTCGAGTGCTGTCATATTTGTTAAATGTTTAAGGGTGTAGCTACTAATGAAGAACTCGTACATGCCATTACTTGTGCCTTCTCGGCCTTGGTAGATGTCGGTCTAGATTTTGTTTTGGGATTACCCCAAACACACCGAGGTAATTCCGTCTATGTGGTTATTGATCATTTTTCTAAAATGATTCATTTAATTCCTTGGAAGAAGATAATAGATGCTCGCTAATATGGCTCATCTTTATTTTTAAGAGGTGTATCGTTTGCATGGTTTGTTGACATTCATTGTTTCGATAGAGATACAAGGGACCTCGATCACTTTTAGCATAGTTTATGGAAGATGGGGAACATATAGTTAAATTTCAACGAGTGCGTACACCTATAAATAGATAGATAAGCTAAAGTTGTCAATCGATCTTTAAAAAACTTACTACGATGTTTGGTTGGTGATCATATAAAAAATTAGGATCACAAGTTATACTAAGCTGAATTTGCTTATACCTATACCGTGAACGGGACTACTAGATTCGATCCGTTTTAAGTTGTGTATTCGGTAGTTCTTCGAGGGCCTTTAGATCCGATACCTCCGCCTAACAAGACCTAAATTCATGACAAAGTAGTTGATTTTATGACAAGATTACGAGAAAATTCATTAGGCTGTACATGATAACTTGGCTTAGTCTTATTCGAAGTACATGGTAGCTACTAAAAAGAAACGTTGCCTTGTCGAGTTTGAAGAAGGTGACTTTATGTGGACTGTTCTCACCAAGGATCATTTTTCAAAGGATTGAACAAAAACATAAAAATTAATTATCAACCCCTAGTTACAACCATATGCAAGTTTAGACAAGCAATTACACGAACTTGAATACTTAGCTAGTAATAAATTAATATGATCAAATCAACAAGTGTGCACTTTAATCACTCTA